TTTTAAAAGTGAAAACCTTATCATTAAGATCCAGTGTATAAAGTTAGCTTATTTAAAAAATTTTACACTCATAGTATATTCAATGAGGGCTATTCCTTTACATAGACTTTCGAATATGGCAAATAAACATTTGTGAATTACTGTGCCTATCTTGATTAATCGGTTCTTTCACGAATATTCAGTTAGTCAAACTTACAGCTACTACTTTACAAATATAGCTAATATATTACCATTACAATTATTATTCAAATTACAACTGTTTAAGGCAATCCTAATCCTGTCATGTAACTACCATTTAAAAATAAACAAACTGTAAAACTTTTTCGAAGGAATGAAGACCAAGATGGTGTGGCCTTTTGTGTGGTCGCAGTTTCCTTTCGTTGTATAAAGGGTGTCTGACCTTGTTTTCGCAACTTTATCATATTTGTAGAAAGACTTAGAGGAACACACCTAGTCCAGAGTAAATTGTATGCATGATCATTTCCAAAGTAAGAGCGTGGACGTGGTACATTCCCAGACGTTTCGCCGGCATCATAGTCAGCATCGTCAGTGAGTCTCGCCATTCGTAGCACCATAGTACAGCTCGTTAAAGAGACAAGTGAAACCCGTCCTTTGACCAAACGTGTGCTAAACAGTTTTGCTATCTCCCTTTCTGCCCTGGGCTATTCACATTTCCTATATCCTCCTATCACACCTTCACTGTTACAATTTTTACCGTGCTCATTTAAATGTAGTGTGGTGTGAATTTTTGAGTGGTATTGATGAGAACCCTCCACACTCCACGCTGTCGTTCTCACCTCCTTCATCCTTGTGCTGGGAATGTTGATCAGAGTCTGCCATATTGTTACGCCGTCCTCTTTTCTTAGGTCTTATCACAGTCTCTATCTTGCCACGTAGGATCTGTCTGGTCTCTTCCTAGTTCACTATTTTAACTCGACCCCTGCCACCCTATCTGTGCTACTCGAGGCGTTATTCACCCTCTCCTGCGTCTGGGTAACTAATTCGAGGCTCAGGCCTCTGAGTAAGTCTCATGGTCAAGTTTTTGCCACATGGACCTCGTCTATGGTACAATAGACCTACTCTCAGCCAACTAGCTCCAGTCTCCGCCGCGTCTATCCTGTTTCTATCCCAACAATTATGAAACAAGAGATTCCTCGAAACCCAACTTTTCTTCATATCTATCCCTTATACCAGGTCTATGAGTTTCAATGCTATATTCTCTTGTGTACCAACCTACAAACATTGCGGTTGAACATTGAACCTAATCAAAGCAAGCAGTATCACAACGTTTGTGGGTTGGCATACAAGAGACTAGGACATGGGAATTCATAGACTTGGTATTAGGGATAAAAACACGATAGTCGTTGCGGAGACTGGAGCTAGTTGGCTGACAGGAGGTCTGTTTTTACCATAGACGTGGTCCATGCAGCAAATACTTGACCATGAGACTTACTCAAAGGCTTGAGCCTCGAATTAGTCACCCAGACGCAGGGAAGGTCGAATAACGTCTCGAGTAGCACAGATGGGGTGGCAGGGGTCGAGTGAAATACGTGAGCCAGGAAGAGAGCAGACTGATCTCACGGGGCAAAAGAGACTGTGATAAGACCTAGGGAAGGAGGTCTGCGTAACAATAGGGCAGAGTGATCCACATTCCCAGCACAACGATGAAGGGGGTGAGAACGACAGCGTGGAGTGTGCAGGGTTCTGATGAATGCCGCTCAAAAGGTCAAACCACACTAAATCTAAATAAGCACGGTAAAAAATTGTAACAGTAAAGACGTGATAACATTTTTTGGGAGATTAATTTCGTATGAAAGTCCCCCAAGCAATGCAAAACTTTTCTCTGATCTTGTGCAGCCATCTGACATTTACCTAATTTTTATTCATTTACATCCCGTAGACAAATCTGGGGAGCTCTCTGAGCTCTCATTGAAATCTCAGATAAACTCTTCAAACCACTCTGCTAAAGCTGAAGATCTTGGTCGCAGTGAAGGGGCCTTCCTCGATCATAGTCAACTGTCGTTGCGCTGTATCGGTCTGCTCTCGCGGATATCAAACTGCTGCTCTGCCAGGGATATTCATGGAGGCATTGTTAGACCATTGCCACTGCCACGCCGAGCGTTAACACATCAGGACTGCCTTCCACATTTGGTCGAGGTAATATTTCCTGTGCTTTGGCTAACCGTCTATTTCGTCTTTAACGGCACTAATTTTTTCAGCTCTTATCGCTCTTTTATTTTAGTTTATCTGTCAATATTTAATCACATAGCGCTGTTTGACATTAGCTAAGTGTGTTTAATGCGAGTAACGGGCTACAGCGTCCGAGAGAATAAATGTTGATGGATGGAATAGGAAGTACATGTATTTGACTTGAGTAGAATTTCGATTTTGTCAATAGCTCTTGAATAATAACTTGGGTAACCCAAGATCGTTTAAGCTGATGAAGGACTTAGAATTGAATTTTACGGCATTGTTAGGAGTAGACCTCATGCTTCCATTGAATTTCGCCCAAAGGTGTCATTAGTATCCCTAATGGAGCTCGAAATCGGTTTGTGTAGCGTATAGTTTCGACACATTAGCTACTATGCCACTGCCATGAGTACAAAATTGATTTTTTTATACCCCAATAATTTCTCCCGACTATTTTAATTCCGGTAGGTAGTACATGTCCGACTTCTCGTAACTATTAGCCTTGACCACCTGTGGTTTGCATACGCTAATCAATAAGTTTTTGCTCGTTTCTTCATTGTTTTATTTTTTTGCATTATATCTCCAACTATTACAATTCACCAAATCTACCCTTGATAGAAATTGACAAATCAGAAGACTACAACCGTCTTAATACCGGTCTACCATCGCACTGTTCCTTTATCTATGGAGTGATACTGCAATCAACTACCTCGCCCAATCACTTTTCTTCTTGAATCTACTCTCATTCTGTACGCCAGGGTCTATCGCATGAATAGGGTGTCTGTGCTTCTTGCTTTTTTTACGTGAGCACTACAAATCGGAAGGGCGATTCATCAGTGAAAGTCGCAATATGATTCATTTATCGTCATGTTGTCGTCTTACTACCATAGAATATATAGCAAAATCGTCATTTTAGAATTTGACCTGAAATTACCTGGAGATTATTTCTGGAATTTAGTGGGCTTTTCACTCCAGGCGGTATGTCTCGACCTTAGAAGCATGTACTCTGCCGCTTCACCGAGCAGAGCGCCAAGGCTCTGGTTGCCATGTTTGCAGATATCAGGTATTGCCTTCAGGGATCGTCTTCTTGATTAAACCCATGTTACCTGAGCAAACTGTGGATGCCTATCTCGATCGCATGCGGCATCTCAAGCGGATTTCTAGTGAATTTTGGCAATAATGTCGAATTTCTGTGACAGTTTGCGTATCCGTCTGCCTAGCCCCCTGACTGCCAGACCCCCAAAGTTTTACTGGTTTATTCGAACAGACATAACTCCTCGCTTGATTTTTAAATCGGCATAAATGTCACATTAAGCAGGTGAATTATTTTAATCTCCGACTTCTTATACCTGCTCCATATTGTCTTCAATGAGTTCTTTCAGAATGAACTCTTATTTGGACTCTATTCGCATGATTTTTCTCCCAAATATTATTTTTAATTATATTTTTCTAATTATTGTTCCTCGCATTCTCATTTAACTTTCCTTCTTCCTGCACATCTTTGTTCACTGTAGCTTCTCCTCACTTTCGACCCAGCTCTAGTAGAGCAGATCGTCTCTCTTCTTCACACGGTTGTTGATCAAAATCCCTTCCTGCCTCGCATTTATCAAACAGGCGTTTTTTATTTTGTTCTTATGTATACTGGTAGTAATGTGCTACCTATAGCTAATTTTCTTAAGAAAACTCACCTAGTTCAGGCGTTTCTATTGGATGAGGTAAGTAGTATGTCATTTCTATACATGATTTTCTTTAACTCATCTGTTTGGCTTAACTAGTTCTCTTTCTTGGATTATTTCTATTATTCTATATGATGAATTTCTGTGCCTTATGTTTTATTTACTCACTAAGTTAATGAAATGTTTGTTTTAATTTTTTATAAGCCAGATTATCTTACTATGGTGTTATTAATGTTCAAAATTGTCGGCTCTTAGAGACTGGAGGAAATGTTTACTCTATCGCTTTAGCATTCAGCTATCGGTGATTAAGCTTATCACCGAAATTTTCAAAACGAACCGAATTCGCTAAATTTATTTGCTTTTTTTATCAAATAATCTTGGTTTTTCCCTGTTATTCTGGGGAACCAAGGCGAGTTCGAAATTTCAGTGTAACTAGGTAGTTGAAGGATACATGGTCCTTGAATATTCAAAATTTATCGTCAATCTTTCCTCATTTTTCAATCTAACTATCTTACTCTATTACCATAATTGTTCGTTTATATTTAAGTTTGGAGTA